TAATCCATGGCTAGGAGCAATGATCAAGCAATGGTTGTTGCTCTCCACAGACTGGCAAACATACTCGATCGTCACGACAACGCTTGGGAGGAAAACAAGCATCAAGGGCTAGATTAGTTCGTAAGAAGAAACCCATCACAATTGTTGTGCAATAAGGCTCAAAAGGTAGCTTATGTTGAGGTTTGAGAACAAAGGCAGAGAAATCACATAGGAAATGTTCAAAGGAGCATTCTTAAGCAAGCACTTCCAGCTAACGTGGGGAACAAAAAGAAGATGGAGTTTTTGGAGCTGAAATAGGGAGGCATGTTAACTGGTGGGAACGTAGCTGGATTTAAGGAATTGGCTCTCCATTACCTTCCACACCACGTGGCCACACCACATGGCCAGTAGTGAAGAATCAAAGTGCTTAAACTTTGAAACGGGCTGCAAGCAGAGATTAAAAAGGCTATAGGAAAGGACATCAGAGAATCCGCGACTTCCTGACTTTGGTGAACAAATGTAGGATCATTGAAAGAATCGCCTAGTCCAAGAACCATGGTCCAATACTCAGCTTTAAGAAGGAACCTCAAAAAGGAAGATCGTACACCCCAAAGCATCAAGGATTTACTTATACGATTCGAAAATTCTAAAACTATGTTTGTGATTTGTGTTTAACAGGAGAGGAGAGTTAACTTTTTTTTTTATAGTTACTTAATTAGGAGAGTAAAGATTTAGAGGTTTTCTAAACCCCTTTCAATGCTAATGTTTTGAGTTATGTCAATACGGAAGTTTTCTTTATTTTTTTTCTTTCACTACTCTTTCATGATTAATATTCTAATTTTTTGAAATATTAGTTTTGCAAGTCAAATTTTTTTTAAAAATTTATAAAAAAAATAAAAATATTAATTTTAAAACTATTAACTTTTAAAGAAAAAATATTTATTTTTTATTTTTTGTAAAAATAAAAATATATAAATAAAAAATATAATAATATTATTTATATATTTAAACTCTTTATCATTTTTTTTCAATATTAAACTTCTAAATAAGAGGAGTTTTACTTTCTTTCTCTCCCTTTCCATGTGAGAAAAGACTCTCCTAAAGAAAATAAAAAATATTCAACAAAGACCACAATAGAAAAATCAAAACTAGTTTGGAACTTGTAGGAATAGAAACAGGTCAGGCTTTACTCTAAACAGGCCTGGCCTGTAACATAATTATTAAGCTTAAACCTGACCTGTTACCTGTTAAAGGCTTTATTTTAGGCCTGATCTGACCTGTTTAAGTGGTCTGGACTGACCTGAAACTTGTTAAAAATGTATGTTAAAAAAAATTAATATTAATAAAAATATAAATATTTTATTATTAAATTAGTTTATACATTTTTCTAATTTCTATCTATGTTCTTAATAATTATTAAATAATTATAATAATATTTATATAATTTTATAAATAATTTTTAAAATATTATTTAAGTATTAATTATAAATATTTTATATTAATAAAATTTATATTTATATTTTTTTATTTATTTTTTAAAATTATATAAATAGTAAATATTTTAGTTTTATTTTAGAAACATATTTTGTGTATTTAAAGACATCTTATATTCAACAAATAAAGTTATAGTAAATACATAAAATTGATAAAAAAAAATAAAATAACATTCACACAGTTTGTTGAATCAATTAAAAGAAAATTATATGTTTTAAAAAATAATAAATTTAAACTTACTGCAATATATATATATATATATATATATATATATATATATATATAATGACAATAATAATAACTATTAAATTAAAAAAATAATTACAAAAAGTAACACTTATAAAATTTATTGAATCAACTAAAAAAATTATTATATTTTAAAAAATAAATAAATATCGTCATTATAAAAATTGTAGATGATAAATACTTATATTATAAAATTCATAGATGCAGAAAAATAACATATGAACATAGAAAGAATTATTAAAATTTATATTTAAATTAAAATAACTTATATTTCTAAATTTTTATCTTAATTAAAAATATGTGATAAAATTTAATATAAAAATTTAAACTTAATGTATTATATATATATAAAATGAAAACAATAATAACTATTAAATTAAAAAATAATTACAAAATATTTAATTTTATTTGTCTCATTAATTTTTTATTTTAAATTAACAAATAAATGTAAAATTAACTACACTATAATATTAATGTAATATAGAAAATATTACTGATACAATAAATTAAAACACATACTTATAAATTACATATAAATTGATAAATTGACTAATAATTTAATTAAAACATGTGCAAGTTATAAAAATATATATTATTATATAATTTATTTTGTTATCATTTTTTTAATAAATTTTTACTTTCAAATAAAATATAATTCAGATTTAAGCCATCTTTATTTATTATAAATAAAAAAAATTATAACATAATATATTAATATAATAATTAAATAATTAAATTAATAATAATAAAATTAAGAGTATAAAAAAATATATTAATATAATTTTATTATTTTATTTTTAAATTTTATTTCGTTTAGTTTTTATTACGTCTTATTCCTGTTAAAGACTTAACTATTTTTTAAATTGTTTAAATATAATAATTTATTATTAAATAAATTTATTATTTAAAATGTGTAATCATGTATAAATATTTTTAATTTTTAATATAATATAATTTCTATTTATTATAATTATAAATAAATAAAATTATAACATAATATATTAATTTAATAATAACAGAATTAAGAATATAAAAATATATTATTAAATAAATTTATTATTTAAATATATTTTGATAGCTCTATTTTAAATTATATATATATATATATATATATATATATATTTATACAGGCCAGACTGTTAGGCTTAACAGGTTTTATAAACAGCTTAGGCCTGACTTGTTTACTTAAACATGCCTTAAAAAAGGCCTGAACCTGGTTTATTTATTAAAAAGGTCAGGTCAGACCAGGCCTAAACCAGGCCAGACCACAGGCCCCTGTTAGGTGGCCTGACCTGTTCCATCCCTATTTGGAAGCCACAATAACATCAATAGAGGAAACAACACTCTAGGTAGAAGAAATTAAAATAGAAAAACTATTTATATAATTTAAGGTAATTATTTTTATAAATAGAATTACTTATTTATTTTAAATTACCGTGAGACAACTTTAATTGTGTATTAAAGTCTTGCCTTTTTATTTAATTGTATTTACCCTCGCTAATGAACCATTAATGTGAACATTAATGTCACATTTAAGTTTATCCAAATTATAACATATTCCAATTTAACTAAGGTTTGAACCAATATCTCCTTCAGATCAAGGGTTACCAATTTCAATTGACAACCAAAACGACTAGATAATTATTTGAAAAAAAAAAAAAAGACTAAATAATTATAATGAGTTATGGTAAAAAAAAAAATGATACATAACTGCAGTCTAATACTTTACTTTGAGTTTATTTAGAATAAGATTCTTTCCAAAATGAAAAATAGTAATACTACAATTTTTAATACGTTGTTTTAAACATGATTTTTGTTACTATTGATTGATATTTATTATAACTCTTACAAGATTTTTGCTAAACAATTTTTTTATTATCAACGCCAAAACTTTCTAATTTTTTTTAATATGGTAACATCTTTTATATTTTCTTTAAGTTAAATTATAAATTTAATTTCTATACTTGATGTGCTTTTTTAATTAATTTTTATATTAAAAAAGTTACAATTTATATGAGTAAACATTTTTAAATTAGTTTTTATTATTAAAACAGCATTAGATAAAAAAGTCCAAAACGTAAAAAAAATTCAAAAATATAAATATTAAGTATAGAAATTAATTTCTAAGTAAATTTTATATTTTCAAAATTTTAAAAACTACAAAATTTTTAAAAACTAAAATTATATTTTTAAGCAAATTTATATCTAGTGTATTCATATCTTATAGATAGTAAATTATTTCTTTAAATTTTTTTTTTAAATATTTTATATAAACTAATATACAATAAAAATCATAATGAAAATATTAAAATCGATACTTTGTTCGTCAATTTGAATATATTATAATAGATAAACATGTAAAATAAAAAATATTAATTTAAGTTTTTGGAGTTGAGTTTGTTAACTTTATATCCAAAATATGTTTAATTATTGACTAATAAAAAAATTTACTTTATTTTATATAGTTGTTTAACCTCAATTTTTTAAGTTGAGTTTAAGCATTTAAAAGTAAGAAATTTTTTATTGAAAAATAATGCAAAAGTTATAAAAGTGTAAATAAATGTTTTTTATTTTAACAGAAATTTTTATTATAATTAGTTGCTTATCAAATATTCATTTTACATACCTTTAAATTTTTATATTAAATTCTTTTTTAAGTACATTTAAATTATTATTTTCTATTTAAGAGATTAATTTTGATATATTGTTGGTATAAAAAATGACGCCGTTAATATAACTTTGACGGTAATTATGACAATAATATATATTTTTTAATTTATATAGTGGTCTATGATTAGACAACAATATAAAACTTTTACATTGTAAGCGTATTTTAATTAAATTCTTCTATTTAATCATAAACTTATATTTTTTACTTATTTAAATTAATTATACATATTTTTCTTATGCATTAATTTTTTTTATTTACAATTTAATACTTTACTTAAACTAAAAAAAAAAAAATCAATGGATAAGATACTTGCTTGTATATATTCAAAATCTGTATTACTATTTAGTCATAATATCAATGTATTCTTAAAGTTCTTTCGTTTTCCATCCAATAAAGATGCGTTCTCATTGACCAACAGAAAGAACCTCAGACCACTACTAAATCACATCATCCATCAGCATGGTAAAAGCTTCACCATAACACGAAGATATAACCAACAGTTTATGATATTAGAGTGCAAGAGAAACTAAATCCTAACCATACAATCAAAATGAATGGAATATTAAATAGATTCAAGCACGACAATCTTACTGTTCATACTTATCTCACTAGATATGTTCCTCTTAAATAAACCATAGGTAGAAGGACCGAAATAACAGTAAACAAATACAGCAACATCGTTAATAAATTTGACAAGACTTCAAAAATCCCAAATTTGTATAAAATACTTCCTATATTATAATGTTGCAAAATACCATACTGAGGAATTTATTAATCAGACCTAAACAGTTTATGGCATTAGAACAAGATATTAAATCTCAAGTGTACAAAAAAATTCCAACCACAGATTGAAATTAAGGCAGGGCAGGGATTCAATACATGTAATAGTAAAATAACTGAGAGAGCTCACACCAGCATATTTTGAATCACAAATTTTTGAAAGCTGACTCATGAGTCACTTTTTGTGGGGTGAGTCTAGCCAGAAGTGCCTTATTGTGACAGTGCTCTGTATCCACAAAGTAAAAGTTCCCATTAGCCTTAAATGTCACAAAAGGCCTATTGGTTTCCGGGTTCCGAATATCAGCAAACTTGATGGTTTTTGAAGTGTAAGTTGCAAGCCAGGACATCATCTCCACCTCAAAGCTGTCTGAACCGGGTTGCCACCTGAGTTTGTGAATGTACGGGCTAACGAACCAGTGAAGGGCAGCAGTTGTAGTAGCACTAAAGAATATCACAGACGATGCTACTGCACCCTTTAGGATGACATTCATATCGGGGGATGTCATGAAGGTTATCACCGGACCAAGAGATACCGAGAGGCAGCAAGTTGAGAGAGACAGAAGTTTTACTTTCTTTATGGTGCTTGAGATCGGCCCATAATAAACAACTCCAGTTTCCTTGTCACCTTCCCCTGATTGTCCTCCACTACGAGGTCCAATGCTAATCTTGTTGTCTTCCTCTGTAGTTGTGGCCTGTGATGCCCATCTTATTTGGGAAACAGCAAGTTGATAGGAAGTTTTGAGTGTTGGAGTAGCGCTAATGTGCTTTCCATAGGTCGAGGACCTAAAATAATGATATACTGAACCAGGGAAACAAATGTATACAAGTAAAAATATTAATAGGTATTTTGCTTAAAGTGTCAAAACCAAAACTAAACAGTCCAGACATTCTAACCATACAAGGAAGCTCTGAATAAATTTATGGACATAACCAATTTAGTCTTGCTAAATAAGGATTATTTGATATAAGGTACTTGAAAGTACTGAATAAAATGGTATATTAGCAATGAAAATTTTCAGAAAATAGGAATCATGGAAAAAGAGGTGTTCGTGTTTCATATGAAAGTATTAAGTGGAGGAACCATTAAATTCTTGATGAAGCATTTCTAATGATAAAAACGAAGTTGCAAATCAAGTAACCGCATGTCTTTCCAAGTCCCTTTTGTTTGTAAAATTTTTCAACAAACTCAAGGGACTTGAATGACTACGATAAAGCCAACAACAAATTTTTCCCTTTGAATTGTCTTCTTTATTAAGGGAAGTTATCTAATATCTTCAAGCATAAGGTTTATGTAATGAGTTGTACAAGGAGTCCAATAAAGTTGTGGTCCTTTTTCTTCCAACATTTTATCAGCCAAGACATAATTGCTTCTATTATCTGTTATAACTTGTACAACTTTATCCTCTAAAATCTCCTCCACAAAAGCATCAAGCATCTCAAATAGCTTTTCACCGATCTTCACAAAATTAGATCCATCAATGGACCTCACATAATCCCAGCAAGAGAGTAGACTAAGAAATTCATCAAACATCTTGCTTACAATCGGTCCATGCATCTGACATGGTGTAACAATCATGTTTGCTCCATTGCTCCTTATGATCTTTCATGAGAGAACAAGTACATTCTATCTCTTTCTTAAGAAGTGAAACTTTAATATCATGATAACTTGAAGCTGTCAAATTTGAACTAAAAGCACCAATAGCTGTAATCATTTCTTGAAAGCTTTTTAGTTTAATAAAGTTAAAGGAAAGGCGAACTTGATACCAAAATCAAGCTATGTATTGATGAATTCTTCCCTTGACTTCTTTGTCACATACTTCTCCTATATTTACTTGCCTCAATTTATGGCTTCCTACAAAACAAGTTAATTGGCCCTTTCTTATTCCCCATAGCAATACTACGTGTTTGGCCATCCTCCTCATCCTCACTTAAATCGTAGCTTATACCTTCAAAGTTCATCACATTTGAAAACTCAAAGTTGTCTTGACTCATTTTATCCTTTTGATATGTCTCAAACTCTTTTTATAACTTCTTTTGGACACTTGGAGTAATCTTTCACATTACCATTCTTTCCAATTAAATGTTGTTTCACTCTAATGATTCTAACGCTCACGACTTTTCCACAAAATTTGTAATCAATATTATTTGTATGACCCTCTTTCAATGAATGAAGATATATCCATCCCGGGTCAAAATAATTAGAAGCTCTTAAAAGATTTGATGAAGAATCTTGTTGAGTCATGTTAAGGAAAGATGAAATAAAGAGAGAAATTATTTGAGCATTAAAAGAGACAAATAGAGAAAACAAAGAAAAATTGAAAGAGAGAAAAAAAAAAAAAAAAAAAACTACTGAAAAAATTGGAGTTGACAGAGATGGAGGTAGCAGTCGTTGGAGATGTTGCAATGGTCATTGGAGCTGCAGCAGCAATACTCGCCAGAGACGGAAGAGCATTGAGGAAAAACAAGAGTTGAAGAAGAAACAAAAACCCAACGACTAACAAACCAAAAGCAGAAGATGACGTTATGAGAGCAGCAGAAACGCGATAATGGCACATTGCAGAAGCAGTTTGGGCTCGTGGGCTTTTTGTCTGGACTAGGTTGGGTCCACAGGCCCAACCTAATTTTTGCTGTCAAAACCGTCATTTCTGCCATGGCCACTGTTCCTGCTAGGCATGTACAGCTGCCATGGCACAACCATTGAAAACCACCATTTTTTGCCATGGTCATGGCAGTTTGGTTGAAAAACGCAACTGCTACCCACCATGGCAACACCATAACAGTTATTTAACTACATTGGTTCTCCAAATATAATACCTAACTTTTGTGGTGTGGTTCTCCCAATGTTCTTATTAGCTACACTTATAAAAAATTCTGAGCCCTTGCCATCCACCCTAAAGGGTCATTACCATCAAAACTGCGTAGCTCCACCATTTTGGCCAATAAAATGAGTCTCCACTCCACCAAAGTTGAACCACTTCCTTCACTGTTCTCCCCTTTTGTTAGTTCATTTGTGGGCTCATTCTCCAATTCAATACCTTGTTTTTGCATCCACTTTCCCAAAAGTTTCTTGATGTCTTCCATCACATCAGCACGTTTCTTCATCTAGGAAAGTTGAGTGCCATGATTGCTAGCACTTACCTTAAGAACTCCACCGAAAGGCTCATTGAGAATGACTCATTTTGTTTTATTTTCTCTTCTCCCCCTTTCCCTGACAATTTTCTCCTATTTAACTCCAAAAAGATTTTCTTGCAACTGACTCATTAACCCATATTAACTCCAAATAAAACCAATTGCCACTGCTGCTCACCTTTTAAACTCATAATAAAACTCTTGTAACCTATTATTCTGTTATTTCTTTTCTCCTAGAATAAACCCTCAAAACTTTATTCTTCTCATTAATTATTGGCATGGGCTCGTGTCTAATAGATATTTTAGAGGATAAATCAAGTGAACAAAATTCAAATATGAAAAAGGATGCTCACAATTGCCACACAAACTATAACATCTGTTCGTTCACCATTAAATCTATATCGATGGAAATATCTGGTTGGGGTCCTCTTGATTTAAGTGTTTGTCATCCTACTTTTGAACAATTTATTAAGTACAACAGTTTTGGAAAAATCAGGGTAAAAACAGTGGCAGTGTGCAGTCTGAATGCTTACATTTTTTTATGATGTCCAACGTTAGCTTGAAATACTCTTTATAAAGTTTCAGCAAACCTCTTCGTTAGAGCTAACTTTTAGGAGTAAGTTAAAAAAAAAAAAAAAAAAGTCTAATACGGTATTAGAGATTTAGAGCCGATTCAATATGAAAGCTGGGCCACCCACAAATGTTTAGTTCTGCAAACTTTAGTACAAGATGTCCAGCCCTAGGCACAAGGAGTGTGAATTAAAATGTCTCATATCAGTTAGGAATAGTCATAATACTCCTTACAAGTCCCAATTTTCTAATAACCATTTAGCGCCACGCGAGATTGTTCATACTCTATAATCTCCATTCCAAGATTTTGTCAATAACTCAAACAGAGTCGCAGACAAATTCACACGAAAACGAGAAACTGATCCGAAACCATAAGTGTAATAAAAAATAATGGTGAATAGATTTTTGAAGTTTAATTAATCAATGGGATGGCATAAAAAATGGAGAGCCGACGGAGAATCCGTAAAGTTTGAAGTTTAAAATTTAATTAAAGGCAACGTTGAGAAGGAAGAAGAGGGAGAGAGAGAGCTCAAAAAATAGATTAGGAACATAACCTGAAGGAGTGTTTGCGGACAAGTGATGGCGGCCCTGTGACCGCAGCACGTGAAGGAGAGCAGCTCTTGCCATTGTTGCGCTTCCAAGTTACACTGTTGCACCAAGTTTAGGGCCACGTTGAGTTGATATATTAGTTGGGTTTCTTAAAATTAACTTATTTTATATTATATTTCACAAAAGCTATCGCCGTTGCTGATTGCTCCCGTGGTACAGCGACATTCATGTTTTGGTCAGGGTGGTCTCGGATTCAATCCTTGGTATGTGTGTTTCTTTTTCCAATAAGTTTTTCACTCTATTTTCAAGAGAAATTTATTTTTTTATATTTCAACTTTTTATTAATTCGTAAGGAAGATAGTCGATAATACAAATCACAAAAATTGAGATTTGATCAATTATGGTAGGTTAATAATAATTGTTAAACTAGTAAATATAGTTGTGAAATGCACGAATTTGTAAAAAATATATTTATATTTTTTTATTTTTTAATATAATTTAAATAATAATTATCTTTAATGTGATAGAAAAATAAAAAATGAAAAATGAAAATTTAAATTATTTTTTAAAATGAATTATATAAAAAATAAATTTAATAATTAAACTTAATTTATATATATTCTAAATATTTTAAATCTTAATTTATAATTGAAGAATGAATTATAAGTCTATTATATGATTGAATACTCTAAAAATAATTAAAAGCATTCAAAATTTAATTCTAATCTTAAAAAATTTGAATAATCATATAATTACAATATAAAATACTAATAGATAAATATAATTTAAAATATTAATATTAAAAAGATTAAAAAATATTTTTATAATATTTTAAAAATTAATTAATGTTTTTATTTAATTGTAGATTTTTTTCATAATTACAAAAGATATATTTAAAATGTGAAAGAAATATTAAAAAATTAAAAAGCTCTATTTCACTATTAAAACAAATAATATGTATATATATATATATAATAAATATAATATTTAAACTTAATTTATATTTAAAATATTATAATTTATTTATTTATTATAGTATAAAACTATTAAATATATAAATCCAATAATTATAATAAAATTTTAATAACAAATTTATATATTACTTTTTCATTATAATAATATTTAATACTATTTAAACTATTTTGATTATTATAATTAATTACTTTTAATCTAAAATTTAAAATTATAATCATCAATATAATATTTAAAAACAAACAACACCATTTTTAAAATTTAATTAATAAATAGCTTTAGTTAAAAAATAAATAAAAAATATAAAAAAATTTAAATTTTCATATCACTGTTTAATTTTGTCATAATCAAAATTTTATATAAATTTTTTGAAATTTTTATACTTAGAAAAGAATCATAAATCTTATATTATCAATATTTTTAATAGTATGTATATAATTTACATCTTAAATTTTCAATGTTAAAATGACAATGAATAAATAAAAATTTAGTTAAAAAATAAAAGTATTATCAATAATTATCATAATACGAAAATTTAATATAATTTATATATCAGAATGAATCTATAAAACATGTAATTTTTTATATGTCCATATTAACATAAAATTTTGTTAATCTAGATGTAAAAATAAAAATATCACATATAATATATACTTGACATAAATTTAATCAGATAAAAATAAAATATAATATATTATATCACTTTAAAATAATTTAATTTTATATTTATTTAATAAATAAAAAAAATACCTTTGTATGATTTATTGCAATATATATATATATATATATATATATATATATATATATATATATTTGTTTAAAACAAATGACTCTTGAAAATTTATAATATTGTAATACACAGATATAAAATAATATAATATAAAGAATTATTAGCAAGTTTTCAAAAGTTATGTAATAATTACTTATTATATAAGTAAAGATAAAAATATATTTAGTAATGTATAACAAGATGAAAAATTAATTTAATAAATATTATCTTTTTATCATAAAAATAATTTATAATATGTAATACAAAACTATAATTTTGTGAGTGTGTAATTTTTTATTTTAAATATATTTTAATTTTTAATATATATATTTAAATGCTAAATATATTAAACTAATTAATAAAATTATTTAAGTTAATACTATTTAAATTTAAATAAGACCTAAAACAATTTATATGATTTTATTTTCAATAAAATAGTAACTTAAGAGGTTCGTTAATTTTTCCTGAGATTATTTTGGTATGATTTTAAGTAATTTTTTTTTTATTTTTAAAATTTATGGTGAGCTTTTTCACTTTTTTATATAATCAAATTTAATGATTGTGTATTAAATGCAATTTATTGCTAATTTGTTATTTTCACTCTTAACATCATATAACTATCAATATAAAATTTTTATATATAATTAATTCTAATAATTTTTTTAAAATACGATTCAAATATAATAATTATGAATCAATTATAATTTAGATTCCTAAAATACGTGAAACATTGTAATTAATTTAAATATTTTTTTATTAAATGCAATTTATAGTTATTTTGTTGTTTTTTTTTTAATATGCACTGTAATGGCGACAAATACTAAGACCATTACCTGATAATCCTACTACTTTTAGATAATTTGATGTATAATGTATACAGATTTCTATTAAGAGTCTTAGACTAAATGAAATTTTTTTTTATCATGAGTGCATAGGATTATTCATCATAATTTATGGATATCACTAGCATTTTTAAGTATTGAATGACGCGCGGTTATGATATGGATCTTGATTCTTCATGTACTTGATAGGCAACAATTTATAAAGATTCATGTCATACTCTTACTACTAATAATTACTCATGAGATTTTGTTTTCTTCATTTACTCATAGTTTAGAAAATTATAATATTACTAAGTACAACTTGAATAATATAGTCATACCATGTATTGACATAACTCTATAAGTAGACTTCAATCTTTTTCACTTACTCATGAGCCAATTATTAATAATATGAAATACAACATGTGATTTATGACTTAGAACTCTCTTAGGGGAAAAATCATAGAGTTCACATTCATTACCTGCATACATTGAAGAACCAATTTCCTGCCTATTTAATTCCATAAAAAAAATCAGAAGATAACTAATAACATAAACTTGGTCATATAAATAATTTCGTAATCATCCAAAGTAACTGCAAATTATCCAAGAATCTTAAAACACAATCCATGACCATCAGAGTACCAAAACAAAGTACATTACACCCAAGCTACCAAAATAAAATATAAAGTATCAAATTCTCCACCCTACAGCAAGTGAAGTCCTCTAGCAGTAGACAACAAAAAAAAAATAGCTATTAGTAGTCATGATTCCTTGGAAGGGTCCTCTTCTATCTCCTTGGTATCCAAAGAATCCTCTTCAAATTAAGTTCAACGTGGAAAATAAGACAGAGAAAGGTCATCCTCAATATCTGTGACAACTAAAAGAAAATTTCCAACACCACAACATATTTCAAGTAAATAACCTTCAAAAAAGAAACGAAACAAACTACGAGCATACATCACATTAATACAACTGTAACTTTTACAATCTAACAAAATGCAAGTCTAATTACATGATGCATGATTAATGCAATTGATAACTCTTGGTTTGGCAAAATCTCATTTTCATGCTTATGTGACTCTAGATCTGGATCCATAACAATCCCATTGTTTGAAAGTTGTTGGGAGTTTCACTAGCCGACCTACATTTTGCAAGTATGGTGGGGACTCGAACCTCCATCGATCAATCTAGCTCGACCAACAAGATAAATCTCAGAAGAAGGTCAGGATAAAGGAGCATCTCGTGGAGACTCCCAGCTAGAGTTCCAGGGCCTAGGACACTCATAGGACTATTAGTAAGTCACCTAACTCCATTAAATCCCCTAGACGTCGAGGTCCTCCCTATCTTTCACCAACAGCAGTTATAAAATAACCTCGTGACTTTCTTCACAGGAGAATGAGAACTTGCACACATTTTCCTTCTGAATAGACATGCACACTTTTGGAGTTTCACTCCCTTAATCACTACACATAAGCGCTGGCCAAATTTAAGATTTCACATAATTTCATCAACTATTCAGAACCATATATATATATATATAGAGAGAGAGAGAGCATTGGCAAGTACTTATATTCATGCCTTAATGCACTTTCTCTAAGTGTTCCAAGCTCACTAGCTTCGTCTCTTTCCTTGAGTTCCAACCATTACTCGACTAGAGTTACACTACTTATTTATTTAAAAATAAAAAGAAAATAAAATTTTCATAAAGGTTTGTTTTTAGTCATTAGATTCAATTATTGAACTCAAGGTCAGAGCTGAAACCATGGCCAAACTCCTTAGAGCACATATACTTATATACCAATTTACTTTCAGTGTATCATCAAGCATGTTCCCACCCTTAAAGAACTCAAGTTCACAAAGGTGCCCACTCAACCTACATATGCCTATATGCATATTCTTAGTTCTTTACACAACATATGCGCCAAACCATATGTTTTCAAAGAGCACAATACACAATATATCTTGTTCAAATACACCAGGAATATTTCTCATATTGGACATTTCAATAAAGCATTCTATTTAATTGATCTTCAAATTTTGACAAGATTTGAGTAAATAGAAACTGAAGGTGCTCACATATCCTATGCAATTGAGGGGGGAAACGATGTCAGATTTGAACTCAAAATACACTGTTGGAAAGATAATTCTGCAAAGAGTACATAGGAATGTTGCATGTCAGGTTTTGGAGATCACATAAATGAGAAAAATAGTCTCCTTTATTGCTGAAACACTAAAAAAGCATAACAAGGAGTGATCTCACCATTTTCACTATAACTTGTGATTTTGATGTCCGTTTTGAGTGAAATCACTTGCGTTTGAAAGATTTTTCATTGCAAAATTCAAATATGCAGAGGTTAGGCCAAACAAAATACATTCAAATGGTCAAACTTGACTCACATAGTGGCTGGACGCATTAAGGTCCATAGTTTTTCATGGAGGAGGTGCAAAAACTTCATCTCCTTGCTTTGATTGGTGAAAACATTGAGAAAGAAAGATGAAAGAGTATTTTTACCTTATTTGGATGTTCAGAGAGCAATCAACAC